TATTTTTTTCTTTAAAGCACTATTATAAAATCAATTTTCTTTTAGGTTTACATTAGATGTTCTTGGAAAAGTTGGCTTTGGTTTTGACTTTAATGTAAGTGTAAAGAAATTATTAATTATAGATAATTAGTCAATTCTTTATTCTAATAAATATTTGAATTAGAATCTTGGTGATCCGAATAATGTCTACGTAACAGCATATAATGATGTTCAAAAAGCCATTATGAATCCATTGTTTTATATTTTTCCACTTGAACGCATTCCGGAATAAGGCAACAAAATCTTAGAAAAATTGGTAAATTAAATAGGTTGTTTGATGACATTATTAAAGAGAAACATAAAGCATTAGCTGCTGGAAAGTCTCAAGGAGATCTTTTGGAACTTATGGTAAATGCGAACGAAAATCAAGAGAATCAAATGTTATCAGATTCTGAACTAAAGATAATTTTTTTTTTCTTATTTAATCATCGTAAACAAATTTTAATTAAATGTTTTAATTTAATAGCATAATCTAGCAATTTTTATGCTTGGCAGTCATGATACAAGTAATATATACTAATGTTATGCGTGTTAAAAGATATACTGTGTATAGTTTTTACAACATTATAATATTTAATGAATTTATAAATTAGCCGCAATTGCATTATCAACTGTTTTATATCTATTATCGATTCATAAAGTAAGGTGCATGTTTATTATTATTATCATTAATATTATAATTATTGAACAGCTATACATCTTTATATAGAATGTCCAAGAAAAAGCTCGAGAAGAAGTATTGAGAATACTTGGAAACAATTTAATTCTATCAGCAGAGCAACATAAATCATTAAAATATTTAAATATGATTATTTTAGAAAACCTTAGATTATATCTACCAATCAGTATAAGTTTACATTTAGTATATTTTAAATAAATAATAACTATCATTATTATTAATAAATAGGTTCCATCTTTGATACCTCGTACATTAACTGAAGACCTAAAAATTAAGGATTTTGTAATTCCGGCTGTCACAGCTGTTGAACTATTCTTATATGGAATCCACCATTCACCAAAAATTTGGAATAATCCTGAAGAATTTTTGCCTGAGAGATTTGAAAATGAACACAAGAACAGTGAAAATTATTCTTGGTTAGCTTTTAGTGATGGATCCAGAATGTTAGTTTGTTCTTTTATAATTATTTTGGTTGTATTATTTATGAATATATACAATATTTTAAAGATAATATTTAATCTTTTTTTTAAAAAATAGGTGTTTAGGAAATAATTTTTCTCTTATTGAACAAAGAATTGTGTTATGTTTATTATGTAAGTATTTCAATCTTAAAATATTCATTTTTATGAATGTTTATAGATGTATATTAACATACTTTTTTATAGTGCGCAAATATAAAATTTCATTAGCCCCGAATAGTATACATAAAGATAGATTAAAGACTCAGTTTCGAATGATGCCATATTCAATTGAACTTATACTTAAAAGAAGAGATTAATAACAAATAGCTATCTTTATGGTTACATTTTAATATACTTACAAAAATTTGCCAATTTTTTTACTAATTTATTATAATCTTAAAGATTGTAATAAAATGATTAAAATTATATCTTATAATAATCTTATAATACTTATAATAATCTTATAATAATCTTATAATAATCTTATTATAAGCTTATAATAATATCTTATAATTATTATAAAATAATTATTAAAATAATCTTATAATAATTTTATAATAATTTAAAAATCTTAAACAAATTTTAAAAAAGCTTATAATAATTTTAAACAATAATTTATTATAATCTTATAATAATTTGTAATAATTTTATAATTAACTATAATTTTATTATATTTTTTATATATTAAATCTTAAAAATAAAATAAAATAATCTTTTATTAATAAAAAATATTATACTAATAATTTTAATATTATATCCATTTTCCAACTCTTTCCGCTAATCATCAAAACAAATTTCTGAAAATAAATTTTAACAAAAAACATTAAAAATACACAAAAGTCACTAAGAAACTAATCTCAGGCTCCTAAGTAAAGAGGAAGAGAACAACAAGAAACACTCAGTCTCTTAAAAGACTTGAGTAAGAAAAACAGAAGTGGCAAAGAAATAGAAGAAGTCATGAAAAATCGTTGATATTTTTTTGCACTTTGTGAACTTTGGGGGAATTGGCCTTGACTCTGAATTGCAGATCTGTTTTGGTGATACAAGAATCACAACACATAATGGAAAACAAACAAAGTAAACATGACAAAAACTACATGATAAAAGTAAACAAAAATGGTAAACAACAATAGCAAACAACAACAAACAACAGTAGTCAGAAAACAACAAGTCATGTGAAGCAAAACAACAACAGAAAGTTTTGGAAAAAATCTATCATAGCAAAATTAACAAAGATGAAAGCAAAAGAAGTACGTGAAGATATAGAGATATATAGACAAGGTTACATTAACTCTGATATACCAGAAGCTATGAAAGAGGTAATAGCAGATATCCAGAACAAAAAAGCAGTAATAACTGATGAAATAATAAACACAGAAGTAGAAGAAATAATGGCAGAATATGCTAGGCAAAAGCTTATTCTGAAGAAAATAACCAACAAAAGGATAGCAGAGCTCTATAAAGAGTTATGGTACTATAATATAGGAAAATTAAAATATACAGAACTTGCACTGATAAAAAGAGAACATAAGACTTTTCTCGAAGCAATTCAAGATGAAAAAGACACTGTACATTGTATTATAATAGAAAAAATAATTGGTTACATAGTAGAATTAAGAATAGCCGAGAGAGTCAGAAGATTATTAGTAGAAAGGGAAAAACAACATGCTAAATTAAAAGCAAAATTAGAAATAAGTTGAAGCAAGAGACTCCAAGAACAAAGAAAAAGCTGACAAAGACAGCTCAATAAAGCAGCCCTGGATTCTAAAATACAACAGTTCAAAGAATCTATCAAGACTATAGCAACAAACCAACAAGAAACAAGAAAAGAAATAAAAAAAAAAAAAGATACAAGTTCAACAAGGAAAAAGACAAGCTGCCGAAATAAAATCGAAGTTGGATATAGGTTGAAGCAAGAGACTTCAAGAACAAAGAAAAAATCGACAAAGGCAGAATAATAATTCAGATTTAAGGACTCTAATAATATATTTTAAAGTATCTGTCGAATTCGCCCTAACACACCAGAAAAGAAAAAGAAAAAAAATTAGAAAAGAAAAGCAAAACAAAAGCAAAGAACAAGATGTTCTTGGTCTCAAAGAGGCTAAAGCACTAAACAAGATTCAAGAGAAATCAAAACCAAAAATCATATGTATAACCCCAGAAGATTGGTTAACAGAAGTAATATATCAAATTAGCATTAAAGATGATTCACAATATAACAAGAAAATGTAGAAAAAGACAAAAAAAGATCTTTTGACAAAATGGATATATGGACTGAAATCCCAATGAAACTTAAATACGAACTTATTGCAGAGCACAGTAACACCTAGGCTGAGGGGTGTCAAAAATTAAAAAAAGAAAAAGAAGGATACTTTATTAGAAATACTAAAGAAGATCTTTGTAGAATATCTTAAAAATCAGAAGATCTTTAACGAAATACAAGAAAGATTCTTGGGAAAAAGACCAAGTTTCAGAAGAGAAAAAAAGAGTAAGAAAACCAAGAAAAGAAAAGAAGAAGATTTCTATATCCAGAATATAGAAGAAAGAGAACTCGAGCAGACTGATCAAGACCTTGAAATAAAGAAACCAAAAGGAAACTTAAGGTACTTGAGGAAAAAAAAAATGTATAGAAGAATATTTCTGGAAGAAATCAATAGATCAAGCCCTCAAGCAGAAGAAGAAAAGAAGTACAAAGCTATAAACCAGGAAGTAAAAGTTATAGAAAAAATCAAGAGAAGACTCTCAAAACCTGGGTCGCAAATTGGAAAAGACAGATTAAATAGAAGAGAAGAAAAAGAAAAAAGAAATATAATTACAAACGAGAGAATTTTGGCAATATCTCTGTGTTAAAAGAAGAAATATTCATAGAAAATTAGGTTTAGAACTTTGTTCAAAAAAGGTGGATAGTTTAGAAAGAGAAAATTGCCAATATAATATAGTAAAAAATTCATTCATTTTGAAACCATCTTGTGATTGTTTCCTAGTCTAGCTTGGTATTGCCTTCTGGTACAGGCAATAGCTTAACCAGTGAGACAGACCGCACTTGGGCACCCTTAGAGGCAGCCAAGTGATGTCAGATCTGTAATTTAGATAGTACCTTGTGCAAATGCTTTGATCTAATAAAGATATTGGCGAGACTGCCAATACATACAAAAAAAAAAATTTTTAATATTATCTTAAACACATCAAAAAAGTGCTAGTTTCTGTAAAGTATTATTAGTTATTTTTGTTAATATTATTGTTGAAATTTAAGTTAATATTATTGTTAGAATTTAATAAAACTAGATTAAAACTTTTATAATTATTTTTGCTAAATAATAAATTTTTTTAAAATAATTTGTTTATATTACTAAAATTACAAAAAAAAATAAAAGAATTACTATTTGTACTAGTAGGTATAATACTCGGTATAAGAAAAAAATCAAAAATTTTTAATATCTTAAAAGTTTACTAAGGTAGGCCAAAAAAAATGAAAGGGGAATAAATTGCTAATAACTATAGTACTATGCACTTCTGGCTCTTCTTAGGTCAGCATATAAAATACTTTTAATTTTGTGAAGCAATAGATCTCCTTTGTATTTTTTTTGCTTGTATTATTTAACTGTATTAATATGTTAATAAATGTTAAAGATAATACTGAAATCAGTTGCTAAAATTCATATCAGAGAATTTGCAGTTTAATAAAAAAATTATGCAAATTTACAGTCTTGATATAAAATATACTAAATCTACATAACAATAATTTATACTCTTTTATTATAAACTCTAACCCTAAATTATAACCAACTATAAACAAATAAGTTCAAATTTTAGCATTATTCTGATAATAATATGTTAAATAAATTTGTAAATTTCAAATTTCATTATTAGATTCAACTGATCAAATCTCAAAAGATATATTTGTATTATTTATGATAGGAAAAAATTACTATATCTTCTAAGATCTGTTAATATATTGTCTATTATCAGAAATATTCTGATATTCTTGATATTTTGATTAAATATTAAATTAGATTCATTAAAACTATTAAAATAAATATTAAACCAAATTATTATTATAAAAAATTGAATTATAAAAAATTGGTCAGTAGATAATGCAGAATAAAAATTTAACTTTGTGTAGTCTTATCTATCTGATTATATACATATTAAATCAATTATCAACTTAATTGAATCTACCAAGAAATCATTCAGATAATTTTATCAGATACCCAAAGTTTATAATAATAAAAGCATTAGGTAGTGAATTTTTTTAATTGACCCAGTTTTTAGTTTAATTTCTACACCAGTAATTAATAGCTCACCTATTAACAAAAATATAATTATACTTTTTTTTTCCATAATATTATGATAGCTTAGCCTGTAATTAAGTATTGACTGAAGTAATTGCTACATTATATTTTGTTGATTATTATGATATTTATAGAATTGGCTTATATTTAGAATTTCGCATAATAGTATAATGAATTAAAATTTTGATTTTTTATTTTTGTTATACATCTATATTTTAGCTAGTAACTTTGTCACATATAAATATATAGTTTATTAGTACACAATACCTACCTATATTGGTAACAATATTCAATTTTAGTAAATTTATTAATTTTTTTGATTATTTTATAACTTATACTAAATAGTAATGATAGATTGGCTTGGTAGCTTAATTATATGAATATTACTTAAGGTGTGTAGAATACTACAGTAGATATATAAATATAGCTATTTGAACCTGTTATAATAGACTACTTGCATATTCACAAAAAATTGACTAAGTAAATATCTCATAATTAAGTAAATATAACTATAGTCAGTGTTGTCACAGGACAGTTGTAGACAGTAAGTTTGGACATTTTGGACAATTTTAGACAATTAAATAAATTAAAATTACTCAAAATTTTATTAAGATAACATATATTAATTTCTAAATAAAATATATTCAGTATATAAAAAAATATATAATTATATATTTTTTAAACAAATTTATTAATTATTAAAGCTTGGACATGCTCTGTACACTTGTGGATACTTGGATACTTAGATGTTAGACAGTACCAAAAAGCCTTTGGATAGTCAAAATATATAACACTGGCCATAGTTATATAGATGTAGCTATTGTGAAGTACAAATTTTTATTGATATATAATTGGCTAATCAAAGAATGAATATGCACAATTTTTGTATTTATGATCTTATTCTGTACCAAAATTTTGCAAAAAATTTTTTTTATTTGGATTAGTTATACTTGATATATTCTATTGTATTTAATAAATTTGTCTATTTTTTATCAAGATAATTTATACTAATTACTAAATTCAGA